GAATGCCCCGGGGCTGGGGCAGAGGTATTTTAAACACAGACATGCACACCACACTTTGATAGACAGGAGGAGACTCGGTCCTCCAGCTGTCCGGGGAAGAATGGGAGAGACCACCAGAAGTGAGGCTGCAAACAGCCGCCCTCCCCAAGCCTGCAACCCTTGGGGAAAAAAAAAATCTATTACTGCCAACAAAGAGTTTTAAGACCCCCTTGCAGCACAGATAAGGTGAATGAATTTGTTGGGGTTGGTCTTGCTCTTTTGTTGCGGAAGGGAGGAGCTGCTTTGTAAGACAAGGGGAAGGGGCAGACCTGAATATACGGCCATCTGAGGTATGGTCGGAGGAAAAAAGTGCAGCAAAAAGGAGATGAAAAAAGTAAAAAAATTAAAAAAAAGGAAAAACAAGCACTTCACAGGTTGGTTCTGAACATATCTCTTGTATGAAAATGATTGTCAAAAGAGTCACTAGTGAAAATAAGGTAAGAAAATATGTTGGCCATAGAGGTACCTTTCTGCTTCTTTCAACAACAGAAAATTAACCCAAGGTCCATCAAGTGTTTTCTGTCCAGCACAGGAATACTCTTTGGAAAGCCCAAGTTACGTTGTCCCGACGCACGCCTCCCAGGGTGCTGTCTGGTCTGGGGGCGAAGAGGAGACCCCGAGCCCAACACGCTACCCGGAGCCTCCCCGCATCTGCTGGGGGAGGGAGGGGACACAGGTCTCCCACGAGGTCACCCCCAAAAAGCGTACCACTGGCGCCCTGAGCGCGGGCTGCGGTGCACGGCCGAGGCGTAGGTGTTGTAGCTGTTCTCCTGGAAGCGCTCCCGGAACTGGCAGTCCGCCGTGAACCGCGCCTGCGGGGACAGAGCCGGGAGCACCGTTAGCACGGGGCTGGTTTCGCCCGTCCCCTGCCCCGCAACGCTTGCTGGGATTCTGTCCCCCCCCCAGACCAGGTCCAAAGGGGCAAGCGGCAACACGGGACAGCTGGGGAACCCTCTCCGAGGCTGCCAGGTACCCAGGAAACCCCCCAATGCAGATAATCTCAGTAGCTGCTTGCCACTCAGTTCTGGGCTTTCTTGGAAAGAACAGGCTTGGCCTGCCCCAGAACCACCCTTCCCTCTCACCCCGCGTCTCCTGCCCTTCCCACTGACAGGAGGGAGGATGTGGCTCTGCACCCCCTGTGCTGCAGCCCGACTGCGGACCCTGGGGTCGAGCCCCGGCTCCATCTCCGTTCCCACCCTCGCACCCCTCACTTGGGCACTGAATCATCACTTAATAATCTGGAAAGGCAATTTGCATGCAGATTTTCATTGCTTCACTGAACATGGCTTTGATTGTACTGGGTTTGTTTTTTTCCCCTCTACTTGGTTTTAAATGAACTCGGGGCGTTTTGCTGCTTGATAACCTGAAGAAATTACTTGCAGCCCAGGAGCATCACCTCTTGTAAACAGGGCAGCCGCATTGGCTCCTGGAGGGCTGGGGGGAAAGGTTTCCCACTGCCGCAGAGGACAGGCTGAATGCTGCCCACACCAGCTCCTTCTTGTTGTCAAGGGAGGGGAGGAAAAACAAAGCATACAGAAACACAAAAATAGAGCTGTAATGCCCCAGCTATGTACCCATGGCCCTGGGACACCTGGCTGCAGTCCCCAGGACCCCATCTGAAATCCTTTGCCAGGCTTTAATCCAACCGTGGGCATGGTACCTGGTGCCCTGACAGCTTCTCCAGCCATGCCTGGGGCACCACAGCCTGATCGAAAAGCAACGCTTCAAAACTATTGACGTCAAATGGATGCTGAGCTCTCGAGCTCCAAAACCCCCATCAATGGAGAACAAGGCAAAACCCCCAAGCAGTGCTTTACAATCACACAGAAGGCCCAACTGGCTGGGATAATTTTTAAACTCCCAATTTAACCAGAGAATTTGAGTCCTACAATACAAATGACAGAGTCCCCGGCCTGCCATGCATTTTTTTCCTCATAGCACTTTGAATTAAGTCTTCTTTTGCTCTTCACTTGAAAGAAACGTCACCTTGATGACTCATTTTTGCTTTCCCTGTCTTTCATACATCCTTGATGCTGTATCGCCCATGCACGAGTATTCACCTTCCTGAGGCAAGGATTTGCTGACCCTGCGTTGCTCTCTAAAGTCCTGACAGGCGCAGCGGTGCCCGAGCAAGACACCCCTGCATCAGCCTTTGCACAAGGAGGTTTTAGGATTGACCGAGGCACGCCTGAAAGGGTGCTCTGCGCAAGAGGCCCTGAAGCAGGCCCTGCGTTTCCCAGTGGAATTTGGGCAAATGGCAAGAACAGGCTTTTTTGGTGTAGGAGATGAAGTAGGCTGCCCTGCCCTGGGCATCAAGGCTGGCCACGGCCGAGAATTCATTGCTGAAATTGGCTCCAGCAGGCTTTGTGACTGCTGCTGTGAATAGGAGAAGATGCTTGTGCCCCTGCTCGTATGTATCCCTACAGACAGGTCAGCTCGCTGCTGCGTTCCTCGTGGGTAAGCCGAATCGGCATTGCCAGTCTGGCCCAGCATTTCTGGGACAATGCCACCCCGCAACGGGAGGCGGCAGGCAGCGGGCTGCGCGGCTCCCTGTCTGGAGCATCACAGGAAACGTTCCTGCTTGAAGTGTTCTGGGGGGAACTGCTCCCGAAGAGTCAGAGCAGCATCCCCTCCACAGAGGGATCTGGGGAAGTGGGGGGTGGTCTCCAGCCCTGGACGCAGAGGGATGCCGTGGGCTGCTCCCGCCGGCGGCGCGGGAAAGGAGACCCGCAGCCCACACGCGTGGAGGGAAGCCCTCGCCCGCAGACAGCAAACCACCCCGGGGAGTGCATCAGCGCCTCACGGACAGGCATCCCTGCGTCCCAGCCCCTCAGCTCCGCAACCACACCGCTTCAGACGGGGAAAAGGCTTTTTCCCTGGCACAGGGCAGGCAGCACCGCCTCGGAGCACTGGCTGGCCGTTGGATTTGCTCTGCAGCAGGTCCAGAGACAATCATGAAGAGCAATCCTGAAGTCAATTAAACGTCAAAATCCAATTCAACAGAGATTTCCCCCAGTGAGGACCACAGTGTTCGGTCAACTCGGAACAACTCCCGAGAAAGGAAAATTATCTGAGCCCCCTGTGGGCAAACCTCTCCTCCGGGGTTCGTGTCGGCCCCTGCCAAGACCAACACCAAACCCCCTCCTGCCCGCTCTGTGCTAAAAATGTACAAACAGGGGACCGAGGATTTAACAACAAGGAAAAAGCCATCTGTGCACGCAACTGATAATTGCTGGGATTACTGTCACTTTCTGAAGCTGGTGCCTCTAAAAACGAACTGCTTGGTAATTTAATTAAGTTGCCATCAAAAAAAAAGAAAAAAATTAAGGGGGAAGGCTGCTGTAAAGCACCGAGCTGGGATAAATCCGGGCCCCGAGAGTTTCGAGGGAGCCCGAATCCCT